TAACCTAACCTATCCAGATGCTAAAGATCGAGAGAGAGACCTCACGTTGGAGAGAGAGATAATTATGTCAAGGGTTTACCTCGTAGGGAACGCTCTCATATTATAGGGCGTAGATAAAACGCTTTGTTATCGTCGTCTTCTAAATTCGAGGTGCCCTTTGCAGGCTATGTGGAGCGATGTCCTTCTCAGGCCGTTCGGCTAAGTCAGGTTACGGTGTATGCTCCGTCGCTCCTAATCTGTAGAGTCCTTCCAGGCGGTGTTCGCTCGGAGGGTTCTTCTGTTAACCTCTCCGAGGAGTAATTCCGGCACATATGGAAAGAGTAAAAATATTCAAAGTCTTTTTACCTTGTCTAGAGCGGAAATTATGAGCTTCGTTGGAAGAGTCCGCTTCGTTGTCTCTTCCCCTACGATCGCTCTCGAGGTTTCAGATCGTTCCCCTTTTATACCCTTTAGCGTGGAAAAATCTGGGATCTCGTTGACGTCTTTCCCTCGTCATAGAAAAATTCATTACCTTATTTGGTCATTTTGTCTCCGGGTCGCTCGAACTTATGGGGGGTCACGGGAGATCGTGGTCCCTCGTCGATGACCTTGATGACTAACCTCTCTGCATCGTCATACGTTTTTCTGCAGCCTATTGGCTATTTATTTAAACGACGCAGTTATCTCGTAAGCAAGCGATCCCCTGGAGGGGGTGACCACCCCCCGCTTCGGACGACGAAAGTCACCCTCGCTTGCTACGCAGTTAGTGTGAAAATAAAAAATAGCGTCTGTATTCTCACAATAACCAAATATTGTAGCGCCACATCACTAGCGGACATTTGAATTTGCGGATTAGAACGGTCGGTTAACCGATGTGACGGTTAATCGGGCGTCGGATAATCGATGCTCTACTGTATATATATAATGACACGTAAGTTTAACTGAAACCCGTGTTTTAATTAATCGAACAAATACAAAAGAACAGAAGAGCGCAAGTCTTCGATGCTACTTCACATGGCTGAACACGGTACAAAAAGGCGCGAGAAGATCTCTGACGTCCCCTGGCAGTTGAAAAGAACACAATGTAGAATTCTCGTTCCTTGACACATCCCCTCATTTCGATATCTTTCGAGATGTCGAAATATAGCCCTATGTTTTAGATATTTATAGTACATAATATGTAAGGACTTTCTATACACTATATCCAGTCAGTCACATAACATCGAACATCTGAATTTGACAAACTTCTCTTTCCCCAAAGCTTTCGTAAAAACGTCGGCAATATTTTCGTTTGTACTGACATGTTCAATTGAAATTTCTTTGTTTCTACACAGGTGTTTGATCTAATAGTATCTTAGATCAATATGCTTATCCCTCTTTGCATTCTTAAACGTTTTCATCATAGAAATCTCACTTGTGTTGTCAATTTTGAGATTGCAGGTTTACACTTACCAAATTCTGATAAAATACCTTTATAGTTCATTAATTCTTGCTGAGATATATTCAGCCTCCACGGATGAAACAGCCACACAGTTCTATTTTCTGGAGCACCGTGCATTTCTGGATTTCCAGCATAAAAACCAATCAAATTCCGCCCACACTTTTCCTGGTTTTAGTATCTCCTCCCCAATCAGCATCACTCGTGCCTACTAGACTGTCTAAACCTTTCGTAAAACGAAGTGTAAGATACCTCGTGCAGCTTAAGTATCGAAGAATTCTTTTATCCGTTTTCCACAACTGATCTGTCGGTTTGTCTAAATATCTACTAAGATACGATACACTATACGCAATATCCTGTCTGCTTGTAACAGAAAGTACTATACATCAGACTGCACACCAATCTACGAAATAAAATGTCTTCACTCAAATTGGATTCCGTTAAATGGAAATTCGTTTTGCATAGGTGTGGCAACTTCTCGACACTGTTCCATATTAAACTCAGTTAAGATACGGGAAATTATTTTGGACTGACTGATTTTTAATTCCTTTTCATCTCTGTCAAACTGCATTCCTAAGAAGGATGATACTTCTCCCAAAGATTTGGCATTGAACTCTTTGTGCAGATCATTCATTAATTTGTCACTCTTTGCATCTTCACCTGTCATGTCAACGAAAAGAATCAAGTAGGCGCCGTTACCTACGTACAAACAAAAGTCGTACTTCGACCTACAAAAACTTAACTTTTCCATAACTTCGTTAAACTTGTCATTCCAACATTTTGATGCATTTCTCGAGCCGTACAATGCTGTATTCAATTTCAATGTCTTTTTTCGACATTTAAGCCCTTCTGGTGTACTAATGTATACATTTTTTTCTTGATATCCGTTTAGAAAGACAGTTGGAACGTCTATTTGACGCAGCTCCCAGTTATGCTGTACTGCCACGGAAAGCAAAATCCTAATTGTAGACATCCTACAGACTGGCGCATAGCTAAATTCTCTTTCTTCTTCATAAGGTACTGTACTTGCAATCCTCTTGCCATTAATCTGGCCTTCCTTGTTCCGTCTTCTTTGGTTTTAAATATTTATTTTGTATCTATAGCTGTCTGGTCTTCTGGCAAATCTACAGGTGTCCACGTTTGTGGTTTCTGATGAGAATCTAATTCTTTCTCTATAGCTTTCTTCCACTCTGGTGACTTGCGTGCTACTTGGTACGTTTTAGGCTCTTCTGTCGATAACAACAAACAATATGCAGTTTACAATTCAAAATAATTTAAATGGGAAGGTTTCTTAACGTTTCTTCTAACTTTAGAATTTTCCATTTTGTCTTCTCTTTCATCTTTCCGCTAACTGTTGTTATTGTTTCTTAGCATTCTTCCATCGTCTTCTTGTTCTTCTTCAATACTGGGTATAAATACAGTTGGAGAAACCACCCCCTCTTCTTTTTGTTTCGATCTGGCTCGTTTGTTCTCTATTTACTCCATACGGCATTCATCAAACCGTACGTCTCGTCATCTTACTATCCTCTCTTCTGTCGGAATAGTTGCCACCGCAATATCTCTCCATAACTGCACGTTTCTCTCTTGGTTAATTTATTTTGCTGTGGTAGGATGTTGTACCATGCTCGATATCCAAAAATTTTCAGCTTGCCGATATTGTTCCTTCCATGCCACAGAAGTGATGGTATCTTCTCTCTCCGAACAGCACTTGTTGAAGATCTATTTAGTTCTTAGGCTGAGTTTTTTAATGCTTCTCCCCATAACTTCTTTTGAGACTGACAGCAAATTATGCTTAATGTCAGGAACGATGAGTGCCTCAATGGTTACAGTGTGTCCCTGCAACGTTGCCTGCAATTCACCACTTTTACTTGCCTTTTAAATTTCATTATTAGCTATATAAATAGTCACTTCTGTAAGGACCCAACCGAGGTCCGAATCATGTAAATCGCGATATTCCTATGTTTAAATAATAATGATAGATTAAATATGAGAGGGAGAGAAAAATCCCATAATTTAAACAATGCGGCACAAAAATGTAGACAACGAGTCTCGGATGACGCGAACACGTGTTAAACGAACTATCAATGTCAGAGTGAAAAGTTATAAGTCAGAGACAAGTGGTCATATGCAGGTAGAACTTTGACCCCAGCGCTCATAAACAGTCAATCTAGGGAAACAATTTCTGAAAAGAGGGAAAGATCTAAGAGAGATAAATCATTGCATATGATCGTTCGAGTACCCAGATGACAGAAATCGCTACTTGCGGAGCTAAATTATGAGCGCGAATCTTGCAATTTTGCCAACAATCCCCAAGAACAATCGACAGAAAGGCGTCGAGTAGACACCTGGAATCGAACCTTTCCCGTGACCCGAGTCGGTCTCGGTTTTCTCCAAAACAAAAGAGACCAATCGGGAAGCGAGGGAGGAGACGAGGGGCCAATCAAAAGTCCGAATAGTGGATAGAAAAATTATAAAAATCGGAAAATCAAGGTCAAGAGGGCTCTCCTCCGACTCCCTGAAACGTCGCAACTAAGATTGTGGTGTGTCGTCGGCACGAACTTTGGACTCCGCCGCTTCCGACTTCATCTCGTCCGCCTTAATCAGCGAGATCATCTCATTCGCCCCGGGGCCAACCAGACGTAGACCTCCTCGTCTCTCTACATCGCCGACGAGAACTAGTGAAGGACTGTCGATTGTCGATGTAAGCATAAATGTTAACAAATAAACGGCTTTCTTGTGTAAAACACTTGTTATCATTTGCCTCCTCCGTCACAGCCCACATACAACCTTCCCTTAGGTTCATCCTGACGCGGGATTAATAGCTCCCACCTAGGAGACGGCAACCTTACACAGGTGCCGTGAAGTGGGTTTCAAGTCCCCTACTTCCCCCGAGTCGGCCATCTTACACTTCGTGATCCAATGACAAAACATTACACATAAAGGATTCTAATTCCTGTTTCACAAAATGATTACAGATTTCCGAATCCAGAACAAAAGTAATACTATTCGAATTGCTTTTTTGATTACAGATGTTTGCTGCAAACAATTAAATTTGCAAAGATGGTGAGAGCAAAATGTCTGCCGTTCATTTTGAAAGTAACTTCCAGATATACCAGTAATTTGTTATTTTCTGAAAGACGTATTTTTTTACATCTAATAACTGAGCTTTTGCAGTTCTACAATCCTTAGTTGTATCCAAATGTTTGTCGGATATTCCTTGTATTATTACTGACTGCGCCTCGGCATCCTTCACTATATATTTCTTTTTTTCAGTTTCCTCGTCCGATGGATCACTATAAATCACGTCTTTGCACTGTTCTCTTTTTAGAATAGATATAATTTTAAATTTCCAGTTTTTAAAATTATTTGCTTGTAATATAGTAGACCGTCGTTTATCCGAATCAATTGGGGACTGGGGTTGTTCGGATAACCAATTATGTACGAAAAAATATATCAATTTATCCCGTGTTGAAAAATTTCAACACGGGATAAATTAAAACCGGTTGTCAACGAAAAAAAAAAACAACTTCAAAAGGCTTTCAAAATAACCATTAATGGAAATAAAATTAAAAATGTTAACGTAATGAAATATTTAGGAGTAATGATTGATTGTAGCTTAATCTGGACTAAACATTTAGATTACATCGCAAGTAAAATAAGCAAAACAATGAATGCCATGTTAAGTATTGCTCACAAGGAGTGGGGTTTCAGTGGGAAAGCAATTACAATGCTAAATAAAGCATGCATCGAACCAGCTATTTTATATGGTGCTCAGTTTTGAGGCGAAAAAATTGACAATATTAACTTCAAACGTAAGATTCAATCCATACAACGACCGATACTCATCAGAATGTGTACAGCATATAAGACAACGTCCAACGCGGCATTGCAAGTATTAGCAGGGTGTACTCCATTATACCTAAAGGTTAAAATGCTAACATGGACATGGACATTCAACAATATACAGATTACAAAAGAAGGCCTCAACAATCTTACGAAGTATGCGGATATCGGTTGCCTCCCTAATCTGGATTATAATTTTTTACAGACCTTTGTCAATAATGGAATAATCAAAGAGAAATCTAAATACGTTCACCCAACAAATAACTACAAGGCTGATCACTGATATTAAAGCACAACCATACCCTACTAACTTTATCTTTATGGATGGTTCGAAAAACAACAGAAATGTAGGAGCATCTTTTATTCATTTTAAACATGGCAATGCAAACTTCAAACATGAAGCCGGCTTTAAACTAGCCAGCTATTGCTCTGTTCCTGATGCCGAATTGTACGCTATATTTCAATATATCTCTTACATTTACACATTGAAAGACTACAAAGGACATCTACGTATATGTACGGATAGCCAAACCTCACTTCGTCGTATCAACAGTCACTATTTTGATTGCGATATGATAAATAACATCCGGAATAAGTTGAAGAATATACACAACTATAAAATCAGCTTCGCTTGGGTTAAAGGCCACAGCGGGGTGCAGGGAAATGAAGAAGCAGATAGACTAGCGAAAAAGCATGCTAATGAGAATGGTGAGATCATCTATACTGCTCTTACCAAGAAAAACATCAAGGATCTGATTCAACAAACTGCCCTTCAGCTGTGGCAAGTGGATTGGGAAAATGGTGATACAGGAAGAATCACCTTTAAATTTTTCCCATGTATTCAACAGCGCCTTGCCA